TGTATGACATATAAAATAACAGAAAATATTATAAATAATGTAAGTAATGTTACAGTGTGATTTAACTATGAGAACAGGACTGTTAATGATCTTTGGACTAGCTTCTATTGTTTCAATTTTTCTGATAATGATAGTTCTGCTATTTACATATATATAAGAGTATTAAATATAATAATCTCAGTTATAGGCATGATTTTATTATCAATGGTTAATATAAAATTAATATATATACATTGAAAATATTTCTTAATTTAAACATAATATATCATACTGTAAGAGAAGAATATTTCAAACGTAAAGGGACATTATTATACGTTTTCTAGTATTTGTATTTTGATGTGTAAACAATTATAGGTGAAAGAATAATGGAATTAAGTCCGGATGAAGTTGTATTTGCAACAGCACAAATTTATGTTGACATAACACTGTTGTACCAATACGTGTTATTGTTTACGAGTATCATGTATCATCGATAAATATCAAGGATAAATTTACATTATGTCATTAAGAATAATTATTATATAATCGGCAATTATATTAATCGGCCATTGAATGTATTGGACTTTTGCGACGAGAAATATCGTAAAAGATATTTATAACACGACGTACCTCAACATTTCCTTAAGCATTTACTTCTTTACGAATTTCGGATATTCCAGTCGCTTTCGACTCAAACACCGTAAAAGCTCTAAACGCTTGTTGAACCGAAAGTTGAACCGAAGACTGTAGCAAGGCTTAAGCTTCTAAGATTTATTAGCTTTTAATTGACGAAGCAATTGGAGTGATCGAAATTACATTTGTCAAAGGCTTTCGTAACGAACGTGAAACAACGAAAATAGAATTTTCGTAGATAAATTACGCGCTGTTAAATATCGATAAGAGTTTCGGTAGAACTACGTTAATTCGGTTGCCAGGGGGAAAAAGGGGAAGGAATTAAGAGCCGCGATGGAGAAGTAGCGGTGTGTTCCACGAAACGTTAACAGAGCAACCATAACTCTTGCCGAAGAAACACAGAGTAATTTTCTACGGGCCATAAATTTCCTAACACGGACAGTTTGCTGACCGTAACTAAATTCGACTGTAATCTCCATCCAAGGTAGAACGCACACGAGAAACGAAAGCAGAGAAAAGTTACGTGGAATTGGGAAAAAATCGAAAGAGAAGAGAGGCAGAGAATGAGATAGACTGAAAGTCTGAAATGAACGTCTGTCGTCGGGCTAATAATTGACAGACTCGATTGGTTCAACGAGTACCACCGTTCTCGGTTAATTATCCTGACTCTCGTTATCCCATTATCGTCGTTAGATAGTATCGGAAGGGTGAAGCGAGCTTCTTTGTCGATTGCCGACCGTCGGTTTGCAGGATGCACGCGTTTCAACGACCGTGGCGCGCTCACTAGGAACCCTGTTCCATTGTTGATGGAATATCGCAGCGATTTTCGATCTTTCTATCACATCGTACCACGTATTGGGTTGGTAACTAAGCGATCATTACCACCTATTGACAAAATCTGTAATCACTTAGTTACCAACCTAATACAAGCAGCCACCTATTTTCTTCCGCAAAACGGCGCCGATAGTTTATTTATTTCTTCACTTATTAACATTACGTTTTAGCACCAGCCCTATAATATGCTAGAAAAGGATAAAGATAGCACAGTTAAGTTACTAAATAGTAAACTTATTTATTATATTATATTATATTATATTATATTATATTATATTATATTATATTATATTATATCGTACTAGAACGTTCATTTATTTAGGCAATGTAAAGAATTTTTTAAAAGAGAATATACGTGATTAATGCGATTTATGGAATTACAAAGTAACCACGCATATGTTATGTACACGTTGTTGTATATGAAACAACATGCGAATTCTTGAGGTTCTCGATGGTACAACTATACCTTCAGCTATTTTAACAGCGAAGATTACAGAACATATTATGCTCCTTCTGTGCAGTATCGGAAGATTTACATTGTCAAGGGTATTGTGAGGATCGAAAACCATAATTGTGAGAATGAAACGACATCAGGTGATCGCTATATGTTACATTTACGTGTTACGCGATATGCAGACAAATATTAGGTTGTCCGAAAAGTTTCTTTCGTTTCATAAGATGACAATAGACGAACAACAATTTCTGTTTTATATTATTTTATTGAACTAGCTATGATCCTTTTCGTTCTATTTCCGCTATTACCTGCATAATTCAATAAACTAATATAAAACAAAAAAAAATATTGCGCGTGTATTACTTCCTTATAAAACGATAGAAACATATCGGACAACCTAATACATAAATAAGTATAAGAAGATATTACACTATGATTGTTTAAGCGTTAAACACCGTAAACACGGAATGTTCAAAGTTGCGAAGGGATAGAGAAAAGAGATCAACTGGATCAGATATGGCATTAGTATGCGCGCACGTATCCTGATAAATCGACTCGCTGTTTCTAACGTCGCTCGCGAGGAATTCAACCCGGAAAATCAAAAGATAATTACGCACGTAACGCGAACGTGCGTTCAAACTTGTAACACGAACAAGTGGAAAGCGATCAAGCAGATTATTTATAAAAAATAAAAAAAGAATATCAGCCATCTTTCTCCTGTTCTTTAGCGCGAAACCATTCCCATTTATGAAACATGGCATTGCGTGGAAACGCAAAAATTTATGCCGTGTACTTTACACAACTCTGTTATATTGGGTTGGCAACTAAGTGATTGCGGATTTTGTCATTAGGTGGTAACGATAAAATCCGCAATCACTCAGTTGCCGTTCGAAGATGGTATCCCACTGTGGGTAGCCATCCACATGTTATATTATTATGCCACTAAGCTATAATATTTTACCAAATGTCCTACTGGACAAATTATAAAATGTAAATAAATAAAAAAAAAAAAAAAATCTTAGTTGCCAAACCAACATTTGAGGATCAATAGGCGGATCGTACGACGCTGGACATTAGCATATCCCGCATGAGATGAATAAAACTATAAGGTTGTAAGGGGTTGCGAGAGTAACAGGTTTTTAAAATTCTCAGGAAATTTAAAAATAAATCCAAGCGACCTGTTCGCTTTGTCAACTGCCGTTGGTAGTGTGGGATCAACGTAAGACACGTTATATTCAGAATAAGAGAAAAATGTCACGTAAACGTAGGCGCAAAAATGCCTCGTTACGAAATTACGAGAAAAATACGGAATAACAACGGACTAGTTTTCGTTACACAGAGCAGAAGATTCGATTATTTATCTACGTTTGTTGCATTTCAAAACGTCCCTGTAAGATGCATCCTGGCCGAATAATCGTCGCTTACGATGCTTACATAAATGAGGAACGCCGATGAGCACATTCCACGCATACTCGTTACGAAACGAATTGCAGGCGACGTTGAGAGACGATTTTAGTCACGACACAGTTCTTTTTTTAAATCGCCAATCTTATCGATAAATTGTTACGGGACATTGCGCTGGCTATTTCCACAAATTTGGGCGTAAATCAAATAATACATATGGAAAACTAAGAAATGCTTTTTTCTAAAAATTGTCCAAATTTCAGATTCTTTTCATTTTCTTAAAATTTCAGGTGTTGCAGAGTATCGCGTTTCAAACGATGATCAAACTTCAAAATCCTGACGAAACTGCAGCGACGAAAACGCGGAAGATTCATTATGGAAAAATGTTATGCGGAAGCTTCTCTTACGTTTTTCTCGAAAATATATTTCTCTAACCCGCGAAATATTCCGAGCCACGTATCACCAAAACATATTCCGCATACTATTTTGTCTATTATTTCAAAAATTGTACAGTTTCAAAGCCAAAACTTATTATTAGTATCGTAATTATTTGTTTTAATTATTTGTAGGAAGAAAAATTGTCAAATTCTATTGGGTTGACAACTAAGTGATTGGGAATTTTGTCATTACCACCTAATAATAAAATAAAATCCCCAATCACTTGTTGCCAAGCCAATACATATTCCGAAACGCATCAGGTTTAGTACAGTGTCTTAAAGGATAAAGGAAATCCGTTACTGCTGGCATTAAGAAAACAAGTTCATACGAAAGTTGAAGGGATTAACGTGCAAATGCTGTTGGGCGTTCACGTTCGGGGTACGCAGGTAACCATTCGTGGAATTATCGGTTGGCAGTTAGGAGGAGCACTCGCGATAAATATCGAGTACTCTCGGCCGTGCCTAGCATCGACGAGAAGAGATTGAAAGTTTCTGAACGACGGTTACACGCACGGTGGAACACCTCGCTCCTTCAACGTTCCCATTAGAAAAACCTTCGACAGGCTGTTCTATCATGAAATTCGGAAAATGTCAATTTTGACTGTTTGGATATTTTTCAAGAATATAATTAGCGAAATACGCAGTGGGAAAATCTTTTATAAATGTTTTACATTTGCTACGAAGTTGTTGCGCGCGAAGATCAAGGAGAAAGACACGTGTAAGTATGATACATGAAAAGATTCATTTTAAAGAGAGAGCACCAGGAGCGAGTCATCGGTGATCGTAGCGATAAACGCGCGTCCTCTTCATCGGCGCACGGATTTTCATGCAAATTTATATTTCTAAGAATGTCTAACCAAGAACGTTAGAAACTTGATTTACTTGTTACGTATTATAGAAAGCGCCATTATTTTCCAAATTTTATGCGTTTTTTTCATATTACGTGCATCTTGTGCAATTCTGTAGTTTCAAGTTTCTTACAAAAGCAGATATCGTTGGTTGAACGCCAGGCTATCGGCGATCGCGACCTCGTTGCTCGCTACTTTATTCGTCCTTCGACAACTTTTTGCACGAACGTGTCATTTGAAAAGCCCGATTATTATTTCTATGAATCTGCGACCTCATAATTATAGAAACAGACTGGGTTCGTTAATTGTAAAAAGCTGTCGTGAAACGAAGATCACCGAAGCGCCATCTATCGGTTTGCAAAGCCATTCTATGATCCGCGGCACTGTATAAATCTGTCAAAGGTTAATTACCAAACTTTCAGCCTTCCTGAAACCTGCGGCGCTTATCTCTTTCGCAGCATCGACTCCCACCGCTCTATGGTATTTCCACTGCTACGCGTATAATCGCAGTCCTCGACACCACGATTCGAACAAATCTTCGCCAACGAGAAAGATCACACTCACTGTTGGAACACGGTGCGACCGACCGATCACCGAATCCACCTTACGCAGGATCGTTCGACTTATTACAATTCGGTGGGAAGATAGCCCGTGACGGGAAACGCGACGATCCAACGAACAGGATGGAAAAAAGGCGTAAGATGCGGCGAATGTGGATGGAAAGCGAGCGAGTACCGTCAGATGCACGGCGCATCGCTAGGAAGAAGGAGAACAGAAACGGAGAGAGGGAAGAATTAATCGAGAGAAGAGAGCGAAAAGGAAGGGAAAGAACGTAAAAGAAGGAAGAGAAGAAGGAGAGAAAGAGATGAATAGATAGAGAGAGGAAGAGAGAGAGAGAAGGGACACGGCGTCAACGATGCCTCTGTGCCGACACTGGCGACCGACTGCGACTCTCGTTCGCGTAATGCACGTAGAGCAAGTGAAACAGAGAAGGTGGGGGGTGGAAGGCGAGAGAAAGAGCAAGAAACGGCTCGTCGAGAATGACGAACAGAAGAGAATGGATTGGAAGTAACCGCGAACGCGAGGAGAACTCTCGCGACGACCGACACGCTTCGTTTCGTGGTCCGACCAACTGATCGCCAACCGACGCCACTTCTATTCGACACAGGGGACCACAGTTAACACCGATAACGAGTTACAGGTAGGCGCGTATTTACTTATGACGCATCGCCGTATCAGCAATCAGCTACTCAGTGACTCTCAACATGACCAACTCGGACAGTTTTCAGGCTTTCACTACACGCCTGGATCGCCTGCATAGTTGTTCGCGTTATTTCACTTACTACAGATACAGTTTAAGGTTATTTCGCTTGAATATTGCCAACTGCGATCTTGGCGAAAAGGTTGAGATTTTTTTCCTTCTGGACACGACTTCATGCCGCAAACCTCGAGCGGCGTTAAACGAGCCACGTGTTAAATGTATCAGCGCTAAGCGGTAGCATTCACGCGTGAATCGTTTCAAGCATTTTTTGCAGCGTTCTGTTCTCCGAGGTTATACTCGGCGTATATTTGTTTGTTTATGTATTTAGTTACCGACCAACGATACGAATCGCGCAGATTCTGATATCGTCTATAGAGTCACGCCACAAGTTCGTCGAGATAGCTTAAAAAGTGCTGGCGACACTTGTTTGGGTATTAGCTCTATTTTCGTGGGAATCTTTGTGATTTTATCTACTGAAATATCTCGCAACGAATGCAAAGACCTTCGCCTCGTCGAGAAATATATTCAGTCATAATATGTGGACGTGCAGCCGTACAAGATAATCTGTTGTCAATGGCATTTGTTGAAACGTTTCTACGAGCTTTTGCACGATTTTTGCAAGGTTCCGTCATTAATTGAATAACGTCTCCTTTAAAAATAAGGCTACGCGCTAATACATTTCGCAGCCACCGTACAGTAGGAAGGACACGAAGAAATCTCTTGGCTGTCACAAACGTATCGTACACTTCGTACACGTGTCGGTAAAGATTTTCGTGTTGCACCGCGAGGATCGAAGATCTCAAAGAAATCAGGTCGCAACTCGACCGTTCTCTTAGAAAAAAATGTTACACTTTCGTTAATTTTATGTTGCATATATACAGGGTGTCCCGAACCTAAACGGCCAAACCGCGAGAGTTTATTCCACAGATAAAAAGAAAAAAATATCTGTTATACGAAGTTGTAATACCGTGACGTGAATAATCATGAAATGCAACAATATAAGAAAAGATGATTACTTTTAATTCTTCGTTTCAGAATAGCGTCCTTGCGGACGGACACATGCTTCGCATTAACGAACAATGGAATTAATTACGCTACGACGAGAATTTTCCTGAATTTCAAGAACTTCGTATAGCATTTTTTCTTCTTTCTGCCTGTACATTAATTTCCTCGTCGCTGATTTTCACGAGCTTCAAATATGTTGCCTAGGTCAACACTCTGACCACCTTTCTCTCATACATATTACCGCCTTAGTTTTCCAGATATTATCAACATCCTTTTCTTCTTTTCCTTCCTTCTGCTTCTGTAGATCAAAGTCTCGCAGTGTGACCATTTAAGTTCGGAACATCTTGCATGCACGATCCCGCCCATAAATACTCAGACGCTATCGAGACATATTTGTGGATTTCGGGCAAACGTTTCTTTACACCGTGTACACGTGTTACGTATTAACGCTAAAACTACCACACCAGTCAAATTGACTGGTTTTATAATTTTATTTTAGAATTTCTACTTCATGTTGTATTTTTTTCCGCAATGATGTAATGACTTTCGCAACGGTAACTAAAAGAATAATATAATGAATTTTATTTTGTTCTCTATGTATTCAAACTGAAAATAATTTTGTATCAAGACTACTTATACCAATACCAGTCAAAATGACTGATACTTGTCAAAGTGTAAAAGGATCCTGCAATCTGTTTGTCGAACCCCAATTAACCAGTTCCCTCTTTTTCTACAACTTGCCACGCGTTTTAACAATTTTTACTGTATATCATTCGATATGACGATATCAGTTATCAGGAAAATTCCAGATCGATGCTAACACTAGAAATACCACACCAGTCAAACACCCGTTTAGGGATCATGGCTCCAGATGGATTAATAATACCAAAAATGTACTAAATAACATGGAATTTCTATTGTAAGAAAGTAATAAATCAATAAATATAAAAATATTCTATTATTAGGTATTTTTTAAAGACCACTCATTTTCACTGGTTTTGGTAGAAATAGCTTCGTGTTAATAAGTGTTCCAGTGTTAATAAGAATGCTAAATTCCATAAACCGATATAATTACAGTCCATCTAGGATCATTCTCACATCATCTCACGACTCTCCAGTCTCCACGGACCTGCCAACTACTCTGAACACTATCGATACGTACTACGAACTACGATAAGCAACGCCCTTGATAGCAAGCGAGCAAAGAATAACGAGGCCCTGGTTGCTTTCCCCGAACGTTCTCCTTCTCCGTTACCATCGTCTCGAATTCTCTCTCGACTTAATCAGCTTTCGCGAATAAAAGGAATCGGCTGTGCCGACCTCGACACCGATATACGGTCGTTTGCAGTTGTGTCGATCGCGCTGAATCCCTACGATCCGGACGATCTTCTGTCCAAAACGGTCTACCTCGTTCCGAGCCGATTCCGTTCGCCGACTTTTGTCTCGTCGAAGCACTCGGCCTGGCCGAATACAATTTGCCGAGAGCGAGCAAGTCGGGGAAACCGTGTCGCGATTTAGCCGCAAGGTAAACGACTGCTTGTGCAACATATGCGAAACATTATCGACACTGACGCCAAGCGTTTTCGAAGAAAGAAACAAAAAAAAAAAAACGCCAAGCTTGCAGCTCTTGGTATTTCGATTTGCAATTATTAGACAGTGGATTTTTAAGCGTTTAAGGGCAGAAATTGAAATGTGCAAGTATTAGGTCATCCCATAAGTTCGTGGTGCCGTTTTTCGAGCGCCCATAAGTTCGTGCCGTTTTTCGAGCGGTTATATATGTTAAGATTGTTTACATACCTTTCAGTTTCATGAAAAAATGTAATCCCCCTCTCGTTGTACAACTTCTTGCCATTTTTCTGGTAGGGCCATTATTCCGTCTCGATAAAAGTTCTCTTGTTTTTCTTTAAAATAATTTTCTAAGCTATTTTTCAGAATGTCGATATTTTCAAATTTTTTACCTACTAAAAAGTGTTGTAATGCTCTGAACAGGTGATAATCGGATGGGGCAATGTCTGGGGAATATGGGGGATGTGATAAAATTTCCTAATTAAATTCAGAGAATTTTTTTCTAACGCTTTTCGCGACATGCGGTCTAGCGTTGTCGTGATGGAAGATAACGTTGTTCCCATTCGCTAAACCTGGTCGTTTTTCAGCTAGCGCTTCCCTTAATTTTTCTAACCGAGTGCAATATTTGTCTGAATTAATGGTATCACTTGGTGATTTTTCGACAAGATCCCGAATTTTATCTTCGTCTGTCTGAGGAGGACGCCCGGAGCGTTCCTCGTCTTCTAAACAGAAATTCCCAGCTCTAAAACGTCGCAACCACTTCCTACAGGTGCGAGATGAAAGCGCATTTTCTCCGTAAACGGCACATATGTTTTTCGTGGCAATTGTTACAGAACTTCCTTTCCGAAGTTCATATAACACGAGACGTCGAAAATGGATACGCATTTCACTCATGATTTTTTACCGTTAGAAGTCACTGTGTTCGCTATATTACGATCTTATACCCACGAAAATCTGCTCTAGCCTGTTCTCGATCATCTAAGCTCAAGTGCATTGGTCCCTTATCGCCGTATGTTTATAAATCGACACATGAAATGTATACACAAAAGTCGGCACGAACTTATGGGATGACCTAATATGATTGGGTATGTCGTGTAATATGCAAAAATAAAAGAAGATAAAATTAAAAAGAGCTATAGTACCTGCTGGAATATTTGCTCAGTGGAACAAATCACTGTTTAGTACTACTTTCTCAGTTGTGTTCGCCAAATATGAATTTACATAAATATCCGCAGTCTAGCAACGACAGAGATATAAAAAGTAGTTGAACATTCGGTACAACTCAATGGAAATATCCAGGTTTCTATTGGGTTGGCAACTAAGTGATTGCGGATTTTGTCATTTGGTGATATCGATAAAATCCGCAATCACTTAGTTACCAATCCAATATTACATTTTCAACATTGTAATAGTAGAAGGTCTGGTTACTGTTAACTTTTTGCTTCTTGCCGTAGGTCATCAAATATTATGGTAAATTGAGACTGAAATAAGAAGAATATCTGAATCGATTGAAAAATAATTGCAAAACCTCAACGTTCTTACTTAGCTTCACTTTTTTTTTTTTTTATTTATTTGTTGAAATTACAATCAATTCTCGCGTTGAGAATTTTCAGTAATTTTCCTGGCGTGGCGCAGTGACATGGCTGTTTATTTATAATAAGTTAATACTTATTATAGATAGGTATAATTTATAAGTATTATAAGTAAGTGCATATGCTTAATTTGGATAACTAAATGAATCTAGCGTTTAGGTCTAGCGGGTAGTGCCTCTTCAGCCTGCGAATCTGGTCCGTCGTATCGAGTAGTCCAGTGACTTAGCTTCACTTAGCTTCGGTTTCCTTAGCTTTTTCTTACTTTTTTATTTACACTAATTAATATCGACCATCGTGTTTATCGATATCAACCAACTGTATATAGCTGGCCGAGATAAGATCAGGCGCAAGAATTAAAGAACTTGATAAGAAGTATATTTGATATATTTGCTACAATTGAAGGTATTCAAATAGTAATGCATCCTACACGTACGGCAGGATTATTTACAATAAGTCGCATAAGCTTCAACGTGTTCAAATCCTTCACACGGACTAATCAGATCTGTCGTATATCACAAGACGTCGACAGTTTGCGATATCTACGACAACGAAAGAATGAGAAACTGCCTTAAACCGTAGGTGCATTAAGAGGAAATATCGAAAACGAGAAA